GCCAAACATTAATGTTTTCTTCTCCTATTTTCAGCGCTTTGATAATCTGATAGTTATGATGATAACGTGACATTGCAGAGCACTGCGGATAGCAACATCGTGAATAACGAATTATAATATGAAAGAAAATAAGTGAATCGGTGGAAGCGGTAAAATATCGCATCTGAACATGAGTGTAGTAAAAAAACGATAGGATGCTATTTATGAAAGCAGATACTATCGCTGATATATTTAGTAACGAGTTTTAACTTAGAGACTGAATATACTCTACGAAGTTCTAAAGTTACAATGAAATGTTTTCGGATGCTAAGTGAATGAAAATGATGTATCGAAACAGGATGTCGTTCGTCGATGGATATTTTACTGGGCACAGCAATTCGTAAGCGTGCATTGATATGCAAAGATAATGACGGTGTAACACCAATCCATGCGGCTGCATCCAGAGGACATTTGGACTGCTTGACGGAATCTATTAAACTCATTAAGTTCAATGACATAAATGTGCTCGACAAGAAAAGCAGGTCTATCTTTGCTTGTATCCTTTCGTAGCACTTTGAATCTCATAATAATGCGACACCTTTTAAGATGAACTCCGTTTTGTTATGATTTTGATAGCAGTGTTCGTTTTTGAGTTGTCGATATTTTCAAATTTTTATTGCGTTATAATGACGTATTCATGATTCGAGTAATTCAAGCCAACTTTGTTACTCTACTCATCAATGTGCGAATACACCATAGACTCGTTGTTTGCGTTGTTATTGAAGCTTTTTATGTCGTAAAAATGAGCTAATTATTATTCATATGTCTGTATGCAGTGGCCTGAATTCACTGTGATTCTATTTCAAATTTTTTTAATAACTGTATTAGTAATGATTATTATAATAGTACAAGTAATGATAAGAATGCTCGAGTTAGCGATGTTTCAAACGGTAATGAAATAATTATACTCTGTGCAGGACACCGTTGATGTATGCAGTCGGTAATGCACAGTGGGACTGTGCCGAAGCACTAATGGAGTATGAGAAGGTCGATTATTTATGTGTTGATAATATGGGACGTGGCTTGATGCATAGAGCAGCGGTAATGTGCGATGTGAAGCAGTGTTTAACACTCATTCAAAAGGGTGCTGACTTCGTTTGTGAGGATCAGTTCGGCGTTACACCGCTTCATCTTGCTGCTAAGGAAGGTAAGTATCTATTTGCGATGTTTCTATTCACGATTCGCCACTCCACTCTTATAGCGCTGTCAGCAGTTGTTGAATTCCGTCGGTAGTGTGTAGTGAATGCTGAAATAATGAAGAAATGAAAATAAATATTTCATTAATACAAGTTATTAATTGATTTGAGTTTCATGATTATTGAGATATGTATTCATTAGCACAGCTCATTGTCAAATGAGCTTGATTGATTAAGGTGACGCAGAGCTGGTGGAAATATTATTAAATCGTAAAGCGCCACTGAAAGAAGATGCTAATGGTTTAACACCTTTTGAATGGGCTGCCGCCGGAGGAAGTGTGGCTGTTTTAGAAGTTATAAGACCATATCGACATCGTTCGAATATTTTCATGTCGATACTCATTGCTGCTTCATGCAATCGTTTCAATGTTTGCAAGGTATGTCTTTTAGATCCATTCTGCGTCATTTCCTTATGGTCATTCCTTGATTCATCTAGACGATTTTATGATCCCGAGGAGTTCTTAATGAATAAAAAGAAGGATCGTAAGAGATCAACTCCGGCAAAAAATTCAAAATGAATCATTATCTGTCGAATGTTTTTACGAGATATGAGATGTTTGAACTCTTTCAAATTTAGAAATGAAATTCCGCGATAGTCATAATATAAAGCGATTTTTCATTATTTATTTTTCTCGGAATCATTGCGTACTGTCATTGTGTATTTTTCTATGAGCAAAAATAATTTCCAAGATATTTGAATAATTGGTTCCGTTTTTATTTGGTGAGCCTGTCATTGATATTGCCATCCATACAAATGCACATGATGAAAAGTGAATTTCAACAATTTAAGTATCTTTTGGATGATTTGCCCGAATGCATCAATGCCATTAATCATTGTGGATGGACAGCACTTCATTATGCATCCCATTCTGGGTATACGGATCTGGTGCGTTTACTGGTGGATCACGGCGCGGATGCGTCTGCGGTCGATCTTTTACTACGCACTCCGTTAATGTTGGCTGCGATGAGCAGTGAAGATCGACTGAGTTCGGTTGTTGTTGCCGGTATCGTTTCTCGTATCTTTCATTCATTCGATTTGTCAAGAGTTAGTTATTTGTGCATAACATTCAACATATTGTTCATCGTTAAATGACCGAAACGACAGTTTACGTTCGTTGATCGTTGTTTCAAAAAATTCAGAGTACTTATCAGAAGAATTTATTTGCTTGATTATATTCTCTTATTGAGTTCAAATAAAAGATACGTTTTCAGAGTGCATTTTGGAGAACCTATTTCAGTAACTTTAATTGAGCCGCAAAATTTTAGTTGTTGTTTNGAGTTGAATTTAGTTAGCATTTTAAAAGAATGTATATTTCATTAGAGTTGAATTTAGTTAGCATTTTAAAGGAATGCTCTATTTCATTAGAGTTGAATTTAGTTAGCATTTTAAAAGATTGTATATTTCATTAGAGTTGAATTTAGTTAGCATTCTAAAAGAATGCTCTATTTCATTAGAGTTGAATTTAGTTAGCATTTTAAAAGAATGCTCCTGAGTGAAGCGTTATGGTTGATTCGAGGAGAAATAATTCAGAGACTCTAATAAATGCGGGTGCATCAATTGTCCTGCGTGATATCGACGGTAACAGTGCACTGCATCTGGCATGTCTATCGAAAAACGAGGACGTCGCGCGATATATCCTCAAACGTCTTGATCCACCGCAGGATGACGGTCATGCTGAACACATCGTTAATTCAGTCAACAGTAAAAAAGAAACGTTCGTTTTTTAGTTTTTTGAACCGTATTTTTTGCGGCGTGCTTCGTTTATTTTTTATCTCATACGGTTGTATTTAAGTGGTAATTTCACTCAATT